TTGTATTTTGCATTCAAACAATTAGTGCTCTCTAGTGCCTCGCGTTTTCAAATGCGTATTACAACTACGGTAGCCGTTATGTACCAAGAAGCCTACCTGTTGAGGAGAAAGCAGGCAACTTCAGCGTCCCTTTGAAAGTCTTTCTACTTCATTAGCTCTTTCCACCTGGGAAAAGCTACCCCGATGTTTACTCTCGCTTTTGGAATTCGCCGGTCATGTTGCCTTTTTAATTCCCTTTTTCGCTTTTTTGGTGACGAGGATTCCTTCTCCTGTGGCTCGGCATAAGTATGATCCTCCATTATGAACTAAAATGCAGTGCAGACTTTCAAATGTGCCGGGGCAGTGACAAGCACCTCTCACTGATCTCCTTCTCCGTTATAGCTGGTTTCAGTCACGTGACGCTGGCTCTGAACGAAAACGCATTGTGGATTAGCGAGACAGGTAGGCTAGTGCTTTATGTCCCTCTCGGCGATTATAGTTTTTCAAAATGGCGGAAGGACATGGAAGCCTCCATGGACTTGCCCGTCCAATGTATATACAGATAAGAAATTCTTCGCTTATGAGGATAAATCAGATCATTGGCAGAGGTAATTTTACACCAATGAGGACACATTTATGAATGAAGACATTGATTTTAGCTAATAAAATACTTAAAACACTACACAATGTCCCTTTAAGTGTTTTTATCACTGATGTCTTGTGCTGTATATTGCCTATATGCCAGTATCTGGGCCAAGAATGACAAAAAAATGTTTTAGGTTCTTAATGGCATTCTTGAGTTTTTTCTTGATTACTTATTACTTACTTGCTGGGGTGCGTATTCTAATGTTGTGTCCAATGAAATGCTTTCTTGTATCCTTGAGCAAGATACTGAACCCCAAATTGTCATCTGTGTGTGAATGTAAAAGAATGAGTTAGTTTCTGTTAAAGGCGTTATTGGTCCATTTACCATTTTAAGTAGCAAGCTGCAACCATGCAGCTAACCTAACTGACTCAGGACCAAGATCCAGGAGCTAGATAAAGCCTTCTGCGTTTTTCACAGCTACCGCGGCTTCTCTGGCACGCTAGGGTTAGCGGTATTGAATTGATTGCACTGCTACTTCACTGCTAGATGCAACTAAATCCTACACATTGGTCCTTTAAGACTTCTGTCATTACAAACCCCAATTTGTCTCTATTTATGGTGGGTAATAATATAAATATAAATTCTTGTACTTGGCCCCAAACACCTCAGAGACTCACTGTCTAAAGATATAGTTACTCTAGATGGCATTACCTTGGCCTCTAGCACCACTGTCAGGAATCTTGGAGTTATCTTTGATATGGACATGTCCTTTAATTCCCACATAAAGCAGACCTCTAGGACTGCCTTTTTTCACCTACGTAATATTACAAAAATTAGACGTATCCTGTCACAGACAGATGCAGAAAAACTAATCCATGCATTTGATACTTCAAGGCTGGATTACTACAACTCTTTATTATCAGGTTGCCCCAATAAGTCCATTAAAACGCTCCAATTAATTCAGAACGCTGCAGCACGAGTACTGACAGGAACTAGAAAAAGAGATCACATCTCTCCTGTACTAGCTTATCTGCACTGGCTCCCTGTAAAATTTAGAATAGAATTTAAAATCCTCCTCCTCAACTACAAAGCTCTTCATGGTCAGACCTGCTCTAGGCCTAGACTATTGGAGGATTCCCCATGATGCACTGAGCTCCTCTCTTCCTCTCTCTCTCTTTCTGCACACATTCATGTCCCATTAATGCATGTTACTAACTTCACTTCTTCCCCGGAGTTCTTGTGCTTTCTCGTATCGTAGATTCTCATGGATCCTGGTGGAGCCACCTGCCATGGTCCTCCCATTGCTAATGTCACTGATATTATTGAAATTATTATTATTACTATTGTTATTACTACAGATACTATTATTACTATAATCACTGCTCATTGTCCCCCATCATTGTTGTTTTCGTCGTTGTCATCATCTTCTTCATGTTCATCATCATCATCACCATCAGTCACTACTATTAGTGTAGTTGTTGCTACTGTTGTTGCTGTGCACTCTTTTCTGTCCCTGTCCTTCTGTCGTTACCTCTGTTCTCTCTCTCTTTCTGTCTCTCTCTGTCCCCCTCTGTCTCTCTCTTTCTCTCTTTCTCTCTCTCTCTTTCTCTCTCTCACCCCAACTGGTCAAGGCAGACGACCACCCACTTAGAGCCGGGGTCTGTCCTAGGTTTCTGCCTCTTAAAAGGAAGTTTTTCCTTGCCGCCGTTGCCAAGTGCTTGCTCATGGTGGGAAATGTTGGGTCTCTGTAATAAATGTCATAAGGAGTTCGATCTAGACCCTCTCTAGAGGCGTTTGTGTAACGCCAATTCATAACAGAAGTTATCTCAGGACACTTTTCAAATGGAGCAGGTCTAGACCGAACTCCTTATAACATTTACAGAGACCTAACAGTACCACCATGAGCAAGCACTCATGGGGGCAAGGAAAAACTAGAGTAATTAATTATTTTTTTATTTTTTGTCTTTTAATATATATATATATATATACACACACACACTCACACATTTACAGTTTTATCTATCTATTTTATTTTAATTTTAATATATATATATTTTTAACACACACATGCTTACAATTTTATTTATTTATTTTATTTTAATATATTATTTTAATTTTCTAACACATACACACACACGCTTACTATTTTATTTATTTATTTTAATTTTTAATATATTATTTTCATTTTCTAACTTTCTTTCATTTTTTAAAAATTATTATTATTATTTTACTTTTTATTAACACAGACAAATAAAATGACTTTTACTGTTTTATTTACTTATTTAATGAAATGTATGAAATTGTTCTTATGTTATGTTATGTTCTTATTTGTAGCTTTGGCAATATTGTTTTACATTCATGCCAATAAAGCTGATTTGAATTTCAGAGACAGAGACACAGAGACAGACAGACAGACAGACAGACAGACAGACAGTTGCACAGCAACAACAGTAGCAACAACTACACTAATAGTAGTGACTGATGATGATGAACATGACAACAGCAACGATGGGGGACAATGAGCAGTGACAACAGCAACAACAGTAACCATAGCAATAATAGTAATAAAGGAGCTCAGTGCACCATGTGAAAATTCAAAATAACTGGTTCAAAACTACATGAAACTCTCTCTTTGTAATAAGTGATAGAAACCCAGGACGGAAAACTTGTATGTTTCTGTGGCAGAAATGTACAACAGACAAAAGAAAGGAAACCTGCAAACGGGGGTTCCACTGTGTGGTTGTGTGTATATGGGTGGCTAAGCTCCCAGTAGGAGTGTGTTGACTTTAAGAGATCTCCCTTGTCTTGGGCTCCAAGTGAGGCCCTCCTCCATTGCGCTGCTCTACTTAGCATTAGCTAAGCGAAGAGCACGCCTGCCACTGTGCACCATTGAATCGGGGTATTAAGCTGCATGATAAAGCCTGTGATGCTGCGGGCCACGTTCAACTCCCACTGATGCAGCTACCGCCTTTAATTACACAACAGCTTTCTGCCTATACATGCATCTTACCTCTCTGTGGTTCTCTTTAATGGACATGCAGAGCTGGGGAGCTGTTAGAAAACATTGGGGAAGAGATTTCGAGAGAGTGTGTTGGTTTGTGTGTTTGAGTTTTCATTTCTTTCTTTTTAATGCGCAATGAGAAATATCTCAGAGCAATTTGAGGTGCTCACTTTTTCCCCAAGAGATATGCAGTGTTATTACCAGGCTTTTATTGACTTGTAGGTCTCGTTCGGCTCAGTCGTGCTATTTCACTCATCATATACTTAATGTAGGTTTTTCATAGGACGCTATAAAACCACAGTCTTGTTTCTGCAATATATAAATATGTGAGACTGGGAATGTCAATACAATTCAGAAACAGTAAGAATACTTGCAGGCAAAAAGAGAACAAGTAATTCATGCTTTAGAATAACATCAATTGACCCTTCTGCCCCTTTTTGTTCTGTGCTCTAAAAACAGTTGAGCAAGCTTCTGTCAGAACCTAAGTCAACACATATATAAATCAGTCCACAGGCAATCAGAAACATCAAACAAGGTCTTGTTTTACAAGGTTACAACCTGTTCACACATTGGTAATACAAAGTGATTAATAAATACAAACATATGGCACCTTTAAACAAAAGCAATCTACATGCACCAGTTCAAACATAGCATTCTAAGACGGAAGTTATAAACATACTTCTGCATTTAAATTGATGACTCATGTCTTGCATATTTCACTGTTTACATTTTTAACCACAAATGTATTTTACTTGCAGTAAAAAAAAATATTGTAGTGATAGATTTGCTCTCAAACCTATTCTGTTAGATTGCATAATTAGACAAAAAAGTAACTCCATACTGCACATATGCAGAGGGCTGCATAACACAGAATCAAACCAGCAAGAGAAAAATCTCTGTGTGTATGTACTGGGTAGTAGAGTACTGAAGCACTTTGATTTGCTCAACAGAGAGATCAACGGCAGCTTTATCACTCAAACTTTGTTTCACAGTTGGGATTGAACCACTGTGTTATGATTGGTCTTTTATGATTTTTAGACCTTCAAGCTGGCTATAATAAACGTGAACTAGCTGTTTCTCATTTTGCTTGTTGTGATGAGGAGAATTTATACGGTAGTTTAGAGCGGAGCACAGTGGGAGTACTTCATGTTCGGAAAAGCAATTCATTCCACATGCCATCTTCCATCACCCTCAGTACCGTCCTCACTACCCTCAGGTCGTGAAAACTATTTTCCATGCCTTTGTTGTCATTATCTAATCAAATTAGCATGGTCATTGAACCATAGGCTTATGGGGACACTTGCACCATTCACTGTCTGTTTATCTATATATTTATTCATTGGCAATCTGTTAAAGCCCATCCTGCCTCAGCTCTTTATGACTTTGAACTCCCATTAATCGTTTTCTTTTCTTTCTTCCTTCTCCTGTCGATAGCTGCCCATCCTGGTGTCGTCTGTGGTCAGTCTGTACTTCCTGGAGTGGACAGATGTGTTCAAGCCGGTGAAGTCTGGCTTCAACTGCCATGACCGAAGCCTGAGCCTGCCCTACATCGACTCAAACCATGAGGTCATCCCCCTACTGATGCTGCTCAGCCTGGCCTTTGCGGGACCTGCTATCACGGTAAGGATTGGAAACAGACAGTGGAGAAAAGAAAACTATGAGACAGAAAACTTTGACTTTAGTTTCGGAAGGATTTCACACAATGAAATACACCCATGGCATTAGCATGGGAAGGAGAGGGGGCTTTGCGCATTGCCTGCCCCATTGCCCATTTTTACCATTTTCTTAACATAATCTCTTATATAACTAATTACAGCCCTGTTATATAACTATTCTACCTTGAAATAACAGCTTAAAAGTATTTTGTTTGCTACACTGAGTTGTAATAGGGTGAATGGTGCTTCTGGTATTCACACTCATATGCCTGTTCTTGCACTGTGTAACTTTTGGTTTCATTTCAGAACAAATGCTTTACAGCAGTAGTCACACACACACCAACTAACTCAGTGATTTTGGTGAAAGTGGATCTTATTTTATATTTTATTATTTATTTATATCATCATAATTATAGATTATTGCATCCTAATGTAGATGTATGACTGACGATCAGGCAGTCTCTCCAAGGAAACTACGATCGCAACAATTAACACAAATTCAACCAATCCCAATGAATTCTGCACAACCTTGCAATTTTGTCCAATCATCGCAACTTTGACTGCTTTGATTAGATTCCTACAAGTTTCACCAATAATGTGTCCTCCGTGCAAAACTATGAGCCATACGTCAACAAATTAGGTTAGGCTTGGCTAGGCTAATGTTAGGCAAATTTACCACTGAAAATACTACAATAATGGTTAATAGACATACCAGGATGCATTCCATAACAGTAGCAATATTTTCTTCTAGTTTCTATTTGTATCTTATTCTCCACACCTGGTGGCCTAATTTTCATGATAATAATCACATGTGTACATGGAGACTCACCTGGAGTACAGTAATTCCCAGTGAAGCAGACTTTGGCATCAAACACACTGATGCTTACACACAAACATGCTCCTACACACAACGCCTTTGGCATGGACTTCTTCTAATATACCCACAGAACACGACAACAAATGTCCTCACACTGCAGATACAGAAGGTCTGGGCAGAGGGTTAGAAGGACAGGCCCCTCCAGGCCAGGATATCTTGCTGACTGTTGATCTATATTATCAGCTATGGTCCTGTCCACCTTAGGCCAGACAGGCTTTCTTTTTGGAATGCACAGCCAGGCACAACATTGCCAATAGCCAATTGTTTTCATTCAATTTACAGACCCTTGTAACTCTGAAACCACCCAATGAATGCAACAACTTGCTTTTAGAATCATTCTGCTATACAAAGCAGATAGCAACACCTGCAAAAACTTGAGCATAGAAATGTAAAAAAAGGACACACACAGCCCTAACAAAACAAGTAGAGTACTGAAAAAAAAAAGTAAATTAAATACAGGACTCAAGTAGGTGTGTTTTGTTGATGCCCACCAATGACATCTGGACAAATAAAACCAACCGATGCATGGAGCACCCGTAGCGCGGAGATCATCATATCATTCTGCCTTGTACTACTTTACAAGAAATATTTAAGAAATGAAGAAACGGCTCGCGGACGGGAGCTGGCTCCCATCATTCACTTAAAAGAGCAGGCTCATTCTCGACTGACACATCACTAGTCTTCACCACCATTGCCCTCACAGCAGTTGGCTTCTCCCAGTTAGGATTCCTTTAGTGTTCATCGTTCACAAGGTTTCTACCCAATCCACAGAGGTCTCCTCCTCTCCAAAACAAACGGACAACCGCTAAGACTGAATAAAGCAGTTCCACTTTAAAAATTAAAGCTGCAAGCAGCGGGATCTCGCACCTGGCGCGTGTTGGGGCATGCTGCGACCGCGTCACATGCCGTCGGGGTGTGCTGCGGCCATGTCATGTGCCGTCGTAACAAGCGCGGACCACGCCACGCAGCACTTACTTCCTGTTGCCACTAGGTGGCGCTATCACTATGTGTTCAGGGCGGGACTCTTATCAGACATGTGAGGTTTCGTTGCAGTCGGATCATGTATGCAGAAGTTATGATGAATCCCTCTTTTTATGGCGAAGGATCGAAATTGGATGCCACGGGACGCCACGCCACGGGCAGGAGGTTTGACAAAAAAAACTGAAGAGCACAACTTTTAATGGTCAATGTGTTTAGATGGCTGTGTCCAAATCTGAAGTCGGTCCAATAAATTCCCTAGGAGGAGTTCGTTCAAATACAACGTGTGCAAATGGCCACAAAATCCAAAATGGCCGACTTCCAAAAGTGTGAATTTTTTTTATTTTTGCCGCGCCGCCATGGCATCATGGTTCCATGCAAATTCTTAAGATTCATAATATGTGATCCTCATCCTCCTAAGGAACTTCTCACATAATTTCAGCTGGATCTGGTCAATATGCTTGAAGATATAAATAAAAGTACAAAAAATACATTTCCTTTCACCACTAGGTAGCGCTCTCACTATTACTGAATATTATCACATAGAAGTGTTCAAGGCGGTACTCTTATCAGGCAAGTGAAGTTTGGAGCCGATTGGACTATGTACACTCAAGTTATAGCAACTTTGTGTGTTCTGGCAGTACATCAAAGTTTGACGCCACGCCACGGACACGCCCTTTAATAAGAACTCACCACAATCAAGAAATATCATCAATAACATGTTTTGCATTTCCTGACTAGATTTTAACTTGATCTGATCATCCTACTAGGAGTAGAACATGGAAGTATAAAAAAATGTCATTTTCTTTCACCACTAGGTGGCGCTCTCACTTTTACTGAATATTATCACATAGGCATGTTCGGTACGGGACTCTTATCAGACAAGTGAAGTTTGGAGCCGATTGGACAATGTACACTTTCAATAATGTACAAATTCGTGTTTTGTGGCGATACATCAAAATTTCCCGCCACGCCACAGACACGCCCCCTCACTGCAGTCATCAAATATAATCAACAATGTGTTTTGCATTTTATAAGTACATTTCTGGATGTGATCATCCAGCTAGGAATAGAACATGAAAGTATAAAACGTGTTACTTCCTGTTGCCACTAGGTGGCGCTCTGACTATTATTGAATATTATCACATAGACGTGTTCAGGGCGGGACTCTTATCGAACATGTTTCGTTGAAGTCGGATCATGTACGCAGAAGTTATGATTAATCCCTCTTTCATGGCGAAGGTTTGAAATTGCACCACACGGGACGCCACGCCACGGGCACAATGTTTGACGGAATAACGTGAATAGCACAGATTTTAATAGTGAATGTGTTTAGATGGCTGTGTCCAAATCTGAAGTCGGTCCGATAAATGCCCTAGGAGGAGTTCGTTCAAATACAACGTGTGTAAATCTGCAAAAATGGCCACAAAATCCAAAATGTCCGACTTCCTGTGGGTTTTGAGGTATGGGTCCTTGAGACTTTTCTGCTTCTTTTATCATGATACACATGCGTACCAATTTTCGTACATGTGGGCCTTACGTGTCTTGGGGGCTGATTCTGGGGGGCGTGGCTTAGCCGTTTGGCAGCGCCCGTGCACAGGGACAATGTCATATCGGTATTTTAGCTACGTTTGAGGTTACACTTGGGTTACAATAGGGAAAATAAAATAAAAAAAATAAATAAATAATTCCTTAAGGAACAATAGGGTCTTGCACTTGTCAGTGCTCGATCCCTAATGACTGTTTCTCCCACACTGTCGGGCAGACAAAGGACGGCTGTGAGCCGAGCTGCTGCTAACGTTAACTCAGCTTGTTTCTCTGATAACTTAAGATCCAGACGTCCGATGTCACGATGATAAAATCCTTCATCCGGTTCAAATCTAGTTAAAAAGTACCAAGATCTAAACAGTGGATGGTAAAAATGTTTAATCTGGACTACAGCAGCTCCTCAACAACGTATCATTTTCTTATTCAAACCCGGGGCATGTTCACAGTAAGCTGCTTTTTGTAGGGAAATCACTAGCTCAACAACATTTTGTGCTGACAAAAATTTGAAATACTTTGTCTCCCTGATGACTGTTTCTGACAGTTAGGAGAAGCAACACAGCAGAGCCAGTATTATACTTTTTTCTATTTCTTCTTAGTGGCCATTTTGTAACTCCCATCTCAGAATCAGAATCAGATCAGAATCAGATATACTTTAATAATCCCGTGGAGAAATTACTTGAAATCTCTCTGGTTTTTGTTGACTTTAAAGGGGTAAAAAGATTCTCTACTTGTAGTGGTATCCTGCCATGTCCCAAATAATAGAAGTAAAGATCTCCGCAATTTAAATGCATTCATGCAAAACTTTAATATCACACCACTGCCTTAACTTTGATTTAGATTTTTCACCTAAAACAAGCAGAGGATGTTGGGTAGTTTTGTTGTTTTTTGTTTTCCAGCCCTGGTTAGTGTCTGCATAGCCGCCCCCCGACACATGTATAATTAAAATTATAAAAACAGGGTTTTGCGTGCACAGTTAGAAAATAAGAGAGTAGGTTTCGACCCTTGTTGTGAACAACATAGATTATATGAAATGATGAAATGAAACTGCTGTTCGCATTTTTTGTAGGGTCCCTCCTATAAAATGACAATACCAGCAGTTTCCCCAAGCCAGTTACCCCTGGTATACACCCATATGGCCCCCTTTCCACAAAATAATTAAACAAATCAGCTCTGGTTCTTGAACCGGTTCCATTCAAGATTCTTGCAACCTTGGTGCTATCTAGTGAACCAGCCTGCTTTCCACCAGTTTTGAGCGGAAACATTAAAATCAAGGATGCATTATCATCAGAGGGCGTTGCACAATGCACCACGTGTAACATATGACACGCCCACTTTGGATCTCAAAGAAAATCTGCTATTATTTGGTTCCAGCTGGGAACCAACTTTTCAGGCTCCGAACCGATTTATTTTTGGTCGAAATGCTCCGTCAATGGCCTGAAAGACAGAACCCAGAAATAGTTCCTTCTTGGGACATTGTAATTACATGGTGATTGACATGTGGAAGTCAGTGGAACCTCCCAGCTTGATATTTAGAGTATTTTAAAACATCAACACTGAGCTCTCTACCTCCAAAATCACATTCTCTCCTCACCAGTGCTCTTGCCTTACATGCTCCAAAATGCTTTGAACATTAACAAAAAGGCAGAAAGAAAAAAGAAAAAACAATTCCAGCTCTCTGCTTCAGGGGTGTCAAACCCATTACCAGCGAACGCCAGCAAGTCATTATTGGCAGAAGAGACACAAAGAGCTAAAAACCACAGTGTCTTCCCAGAAGCTCACTATCTGAAGCCTATATATGTGCAGCAGAGCTGTCTCACCAGCATGACTATCACACAGCTCCCTCTGATATCAGCCAAACAGGGTTTTTTATGTTTATGTTTTACCCTGACACATTAGATTCACTAGATTCAGACCCCTTATATCAGCTGATTACACATTCTTCATTTCCCTGCAATGTATGGAGCAGAAGAACCTGAGGCTCTCCTATACTCGCGTCATGATGTCTCTTGCAGGCTGAGAGCAAGAGTTTTGACTGTCATTCTATGTAAGACCGACTGCACCCTCAAGGCTTATGGGAAAATGAGTTTCACTTAAGTTGAAGTTCTTATAATTCAGTTCATGTTTGTCTGGTGAAATCATAAAACGCAGCTGGTGCTGGGGAAGATATTATGTGACCTGGCAGAAGTTTTGGGATGAAGGATGTGGTTGGTAGAGCTGCTGCTGTGATTTTTGGTTTGAAGGTGTTAAAGCAAAACAGACCACAGTTACTTGCTGCATGTCTCCCTCTACTGTCTCCCTCCCCTGGTTCTGCAGGGACTTTCACTGAGACTGAGAGGTCAGAATTAGAGAATGCAATTCAGATGTATTTGTCAAAGACAGTTAGCAAGATGAGATGTTGCAGTAAATGTGGCCAAATTGTTTAATAAAATCTTTTTCTCCAGATATAAGATGTGACATTGTCATGATTTGAATAGTTGTTTTCAGTGAAAATGAAAATTATGATGCATAAGTGATCATTTCATTGTGAATCATATCGCAATATCTGTCAAAATGATCACAATATTATTTTTTTTACCATATCATACAGTGGTTTGGCCTTGACACATAAACTTTACAGGTTAGCCATGAAATGGACTTCCCACTCAGTCACACACTAATTCACACGAAGATGGCAGAGGCTGTTATGCAAGGTGCCAACCTGGTCATCGGGAGCAATACAGAGCTATCCAAAGCACTCACGATGACAATAAGCTCAGCCACACGCTCACACACACGTTCTCCTGAAAAAGTTGAATTGTATTTTACCTCTAACTCAGACACTTCGAAAGTGGAGTTTAATCGTAGGCCTACCAATAAATTATATGGCTGTTTGTGGGAAAGTGCTGTCCTGTATTGTCAAGAAATAGTGGGAACCCTATTATTCTTATTTTTGTATAATTAACCTTGATCTATGTCTCAACCTATGCTGTGTTGGGCCCTTGATTTTGAGGGAATTTGGCCTTGAAAAGTTCATGAATTATTTTGTTTTTTGGTTTAATGCCAGTCCAGAAAGTCCAGTGTGTTCATTCCATGTATTATTACTCTCTCTGTCCATCACTCATGCTGATCCTTTTTCTTCTCTCCATACATTGTTGGCCTCCCTCATCTATTCAACACTACATACATTTATACAAGCAGTTTCTTCATCCTCCCTTTTCTGCAGGGATTTGTGAAGCTAGGTAGTTGCTCTGCAGATAGCCACGTATCCCACTGCATCACCACGTGTCATTTATAAATTGTGTATTTGTGTGTAACAGTGTAACACACAGGAAGGAGGTATCTTGGCCTGTAGTCTTGGCTTTCTTTTCCCTCGGGATAAATAAAGTATCCATCCATCCATCCATCCATCCATCCATCCATCCATCCATCCATCCATCCATCCATCCATCCATCCATCCATCCATCCATCCATCCATCCATCCATCCATCCATCCATCCATCCATCCATCCATCCATCCATCCATCTTAAACCTGGAGTTTGGAGGGCCATAGACAGACTGGGATGTGACAGACTGCCCACATCAAAGCATGCTGTAACAACATAAGGGCTTGCTTTACACAATGAATTGTGTAATGTTATAAAAGAACATTAAAGTTGCAGTAGGGGAGTTTTATAAAAATATTTTTTGTCATATCTTTCACTATATCCTGACGGTAGTACATAAGATAATATGTGGAAAAATCAGGTTCCTCTGGCCGAGAAAGATTGCTGATTGTTGAGTCACATTCCCAGGGTGTCAAATACAAATGCTTTGGGACCCTGAGATTGAGACTCAACTATCAACTATCTTGATAGTTGATAGTTGATAACGCAAAGCATATTTATATCTTTCTCAGCCTTGATTGGTTGTTTCTGTCCAGGCCTGGTGGATTCTTGCAAATGTCATTAGGAGAACTAGGAGGAGCCAGACTAACCAGATTTTTTCACAGATTATCTGTCTCATATTCTTCTGTCAGGACATAGTGAAAGTTTCATCAAATATGACAAAAGTTTTAAATTGCATAGAGAAACATCAGTTCAGCGACAAGAATAGGATGACAGGTGTGTTGTTGTGTTAACAGATAATGATTGGAGAGGCCATCCTGTTCTGCTGTTTGTCTCGGAGAAGGAGTGGCATCGGGGCCGAGGCTAACATAAACGCAGCTGGCTGCAACTTCAACTCCTTTATACGCAGAGCTGTCCGCTTCGTTGGTACACTGATCCTTTTTTCTTTCTATACACTGGCCTGAAAGTATGGTAACTGATTGATTTTTTCCAGAAACATTTTAGACAGCTTCTCCACTAAAAGACCACTTTAGACAAAATGTATTTTTATAAATGTGTATGCACACAAAATCTAAAACATATATTTCCTCTTCCTTGTAGTGCAATTTATCCATCTAGATTGTATGGCTATGAGTTGCTGAGTTTTGGAGATATGCCTTCTCTCCAATATAATGGAACCAGATGGCACTCTGCTTGTGGTGCTCAAAGCGCCAAAAATTTGAAAAAGCTATTTCTCTTTCCAGATATTATGACCTGGTTACTAGAGACAATCAACAGAGCAAGATACTGAACCCCAAATTGCTCCCGATACTGTGCATTGGTGTGTGAATTTAACTGTTTGATAGGCTTTGCAGAGTACAGTCTATTTGCCATTTACCTTGTTGTGAGGAATTTTCTTATAGGAACCATTTTCTTTCTACCTGTCACCAGAAGAAAGCCTATATCTCTACTCATCGACGAGAGCAAACTGTGTAAAACCATGTATTTATAGCAATGCCGTGATGTGATCCTCTCTGGCCCAAAAAGACTATTTCCCATAAGGTTACATTGTGAAAGAAGCAGATGTAAAACTGTAAATACATTTTTTCAACAACCCACGAAATTACAGAATCAATTAAATCATTTGTCCCTGTTCAAGTTAACGGAGGGGGATAAACCGGAAGTTAGATGGTCTGCACAATATGCATTCATCCAGGTAATTTCTTTGACTTCGTGCACCACTGAGCATCTTTCATAAGAATAAACAGAGTGCCGCCTCCAACGCTGTATCCAGTTCTCTCAATACATCCATTGACAAGAGGCTCGTGCTCATGACAGCGCAGGATGTAAACATTATTGGTGTCCTCCTCGGCATTGCTGTAATGTTAGCTAGCTCACCTAGCACCACTGAGATGGCTACGGTTGGTGGGTGGTAGAAAGAAATGGTTCCACCATGAAACCGCTCACGACAAGGTCTGTGGTTTATCTTGAGTAACCAGTTCATGATTTCTGGAAAGAGACACTGCTGTTGAGTTTTTCAAATGTATTTATTTGCCGCTTTGAGCACCACAAGTTGTGTCATCCGGTTGCATTATTCTGGAGAGAAGGCAGACGTTTTTATATATGTCCAAAATTCAGCAAAGCTATCCAGATGGATAAATAACACTTTAGTAAAAAAAGGAAGTAATTACATTGCCTGCATATGTTCACCCTGTACAGTACACACAACAATATAGTGTGTATGCACCTGCCTGCAGCGCACATTCAGCTTGTTTCCCAACGTTTACATCACATCCTCCTCTGTCCTCAGGCGTTCATGCATTCGGCCTTTGTGCCACGGCACTCATCACCGACATCCTCCAACTGATGACAGGATACCCAACGCCATACTTTCTCACTGTGTGTAAACCCAACTACACCACCCTCAACGTCAGCTGTGAGAAGAACCCCTTCGTCATGGAGGATATCTGCTCAGGGGCTGACCCCGCAGCCATCAACCAGGGCAGGTGAGAAAGCATTTGAGAAAATATTTTATATTGAGAAAGATAGCAACTCCCACTGAAAGGTGCAAAGGTTCAAAGTTTGTATTTAATTAGACCAGAGACATGACTGTACTGATGGAATTAGTGCTATGAAATCATATGAAATATTTGAGAAGCAATTCCAGCCTCCTCAGTGTTTCAATTATACAAAGAGCACACGAGCCACAAAACAGCAGTTTCATTTTATAATTTAGCTAATTCACTAACATTAAGTTTATACATTGGACTATACAGTATATTTGAGGCAAATTCACTGACTACAACATTCACATCCTCCTTTTTACATATTTTTAAGACATTAAGATACAATACAATATGGTACAATGTGATTCAATATGATACGATACAGTATGATATAATATGATATTTACGCATAGCTGTAAAAACAAAATGCATCCAACATCATGATGATAAGACCTATATCACATTATATCCTCTGGATTCAGATCTCAGTTAGCGGCACACTGATTGGTTTAACAACAGGACAGACTGATGTTTAAAATAATTCTTCGGGCTGTTGCAGCCTATAGTTATGTGGCTCTCAAGATGTGAAATTTGCACTCATTCAAATTGTGATTTCAATGTAAAAACAATCAATAATTCAGTCCTACCATGATGCACCACCAACCTTTAACAGAACTCTTTATAATTTAGTCCTTCAAATAAAACTTTCTGTTTTTAAAGTAGAGAGCACAACCTGCAGACAATCAAACTCCATGCACTCTGATTAAGTGATCTACGGCTCATTGACCAAAAAAATCCAACATTTAAAAAAAAAAATAGTTTCACTTTGTACGTAGTTGTTGTGTGCCTTATAATACCATATGATCAGTTAGCAGGTTTCACCTAATTACCATGCTTTGCCTTGATGTCTGTGGAAGGATTTTGCTGATTGTGGCTTTTGTTTGTTTGTTGCTAGAATCCATTTTCACACAATTATGAATTAGCCAGAGCAGAATTTGGTCACAGACAGAGGGGGATAGCCTTTTGATATTCTTTTTAATGAGACAAACGCTGGCAGGTTTTTGTGATTATGCATGTATTTAGGAGAAACCCAGATTGTTAGATATGCTTCCTTCCTTCCTTCCTTCCTTCCTTCCTTCCAAAAGCAGATTCTCAGCCCCCATGTCATCCATTAAAATCATGTAATGTACCAACATGGACGATATTATCCTGCTTATATTTAATATTATTTTTGATAAAATAAAAACTATGATATATTTTGATCTCTCTTTTCTGTTTTTAACATTATGATATTCCCTGAGGCGTCCAAATGTCTCTTGTTTGTGTTGCCATGCAACATCTTGCTAAAGAGAAAGGGCTTCAAAAGGCTGAGCCATGAGTTTTGAAATTGGGAGACATTTACTGATTGGCCTTTTTTTTTGGATAATTGTGCTGTTGCTATACATTATCATTTGAACTTGATATTTATTTTATAAATATATATATTTTTTTATTTTATATATTTTGGGGAAAATCCATACATACCAATGGACAGAACTTTTTTTGGATGTCTAGATCTATGATTGCCATCATTTGACTGTAAATGCACAAAACTATTTAATTGGATGTCTATACGCTAATCTAAAGTGGACTGCAGCAGAGCCACACACCCCTTTTTAGTAAGCATGGGGATGGCCATTGGGGCAGCTTTGGCTCTGATTTAACCAGGCACCTTAATAAAGACTGGTTTCAGTGAGATTTAATATGAGTTCATATGTGTGTAGCAGTAGACAGCATAGAGATGTGCAGGGTGAGGGCGATTAGGCTAGGATTGACCCGTACATTTGGGACACACGTAGATTCGACTGCAGACTATGGGAGTCTAAATATAACCTACTGCTCCTGGCATAAACACTGTCTTCTGCTCTCTCTGTGGCAGCTTTAGCTTCAGTCTCGTTTCCAGAGCAGCATGGAAAGCTGTTTTGCTGCAGTGGTTGTGCACCAGGGGTATTATTCATCTATTTTAAATGCAGAAGCAGAAGGACCTACTGACAAAACAAAGACTGCCATAGTTAAGCACTCCCTTAAGCAAGACCAAAACAGTATATTTCCATAGAAGGAATAACTTATATCTTTTTTGTGGTATTACGAATTTAGCTCCTGAGCTATAGTTCCTGGACCCAAGAAACTACAGGAGTAGTACTTTCTAATGGCTAGCTAGCATCCACTAGCATTTGAGCAAAAGAGACCAAAATTCTATTTGATGTTTGAGTCAATACAGTTTGATCATCATTATCAGTATGCTCAGTATTGCTGCCAAAGATTCATTCCATATATTCAAGAATTAATTCAATATATTCAAAAATTCCTTCAATATATTCAAAGATTCATTCCATAAATTCAAGGTTCATTCAATATCTTCAAGGTTCATTCAATATATTCAAGATTCATTCCATATATTCAAGATTCATTCCATATATTCAAGGTTCTTTCAATATATTAAAAGTTTCATTCAATATATTAAAAGATTAATTCCCTAAACATAATTGGATTATATTATTGATTATTGATTATATGTGTGGAGCATGAAGGAACTGCAAACTTTCATTTCATTGTACAACCTTGAGTTGTAAAATACAAAATACATTTCCTTGATCCTTGATAATAGCAGATGCATACTAATATATACAACTATATTCATGTTGGTTAATTCAGTGCTAAAAGTGGGTCAGTTCATTCAGAAGCAGTGCTATCGGTTTTCATATATGAAATTTTTATGACTCCACAGATGTTGTAAATGCTGGTTTAAGGAAGAGTGCACAAACACTCAGATATGTACAATTGCATGAATGCACCAAAACACACACACACACACACACACACACACACACACACACACACACACACACACACACACATGCAGAGTCAGGAGTAAAGATGAGGGCTGGTTGGGGGAGTGAACACTAGGAGTTGTCAGAAGTAGGCCATTGGGTTGGAGCTCAGTGAGAAACTGGGCCACAGGTTCACTTTCATTTGGTAGCACACAGTCAAGCTTCTGCTGCTACTGCAGTAAATGACTGTAGATCACACTGTGTGTACAGGGTGATGTTTGATATATCTCATTATCCTTGTGTTTTGCTCGCTGTGGTTAAACCCTCTCTCCACCCTCTGTTGACTCACATATACAGATGTGAATGCTGGCTGAGTCTATTTCTGTTTGTTCATCTCTTGCAGAAAATCCTTCCCGTCACAGCACGCTACCCTTGCATCCTTCGCCGCTGTCTATGTTTCGGTGAGTAACGGTTTGAGCCCACACAAACACTTAACCCTGCTCACCCTCCCATGAAGAGCCTAATGATACGGTAGAAGTTAACAAAGTGAAACACTAAGTGGTAGAGGATGGAATTAGCCAAGATTAAGACTTTTCAGCATGGTTCTTCTCTCTACGCTAGTTTTGCTTCCACTCATCTCTGAAATGTCAACTTTTTAGGAAGAAGGAAAAAAGATGAGAGGGCCCATCTGATTGCTGACATAGGTTGGCTTGCTACATAATTAATTTTAGCACATGCAACTGTCAACATCAGACGGATTAGATTTTTCAGCACTGCTGCTAGCAACTGGTTTTTGACATGACAAGAGAGAACATAAACTAGTACCAAAACAAGGATAAAAATATAAATACCATATTGTGTTAAATTGAAATCTTCTAAGTATCTTTTGAGATATTTATTGGTCAGAACTACATAAATAAGATTAATGTGGTAGTCTCTGCATAAATACTGACTCCCAGTAAATATACTGAGGTGCCTGTGGAATGACTTGACTGCCATATTAATCTATCCCAAAAGAAATGTTACAATGATTGGAGATAAATGCCAAATAATTCTGTATTGGAAGGGTGATGGCACACAAAACAGCAATCATAAGGACAATAGAAAAATAAGTATCAGTAAATGTGTCTTGTGTCCATAGATGTATTTCAACAGCACTCTGACAGACTCATCCAAGCTGCTCAAGCCACTGCTGGTCTTCTCCTTCATTATCTGCGCCATCATTTGTGGTCTGACCCGGATTATTCAGTACAAGAACCATGCCATTGACGTCTACCTGGGCTTCTTGCTTGGAGGTGCTATTGCTGTCTACCTGGTAGGAGCCAGTCCTGTTATCTATCCCTCATCTATAACTGCTCATCCTCTGCAGGGTCATGGGGGGCTGGAGCCGATCCCAGATGACATTGAGCGAGAGGCGGGGAACAGGTCGCCAGTTCATCACAGGACTGACACATAGAGACAAACAACCGTTCACGCTCATAGTCACACATACAGGCAATTTAGATTTACAATTGAACCTAATCTCTATGAAGAAACAAGACTAAAGTCCTTATCGCCAGTGCTTTTAGCTAAAGTGTTCACACTGACAATGCTAACATGCTGAAGTTAGGTAGTGTTCAACATATTAGCTTAGTATGTTGGCATACAACATTTGTTAATTACCACTAAAAACTAAATACAGCTGACACTGATGGAAACGTTATTTGTCTTGGAAGTAATTGGTCATAAACCAAAGTATTGGACCGTTTGAAAATGTTAGCATGATGATCACATTAGTTGAAAAGTCAGGGGATGACCAGTTTAGTATGTAGTATTAATATTCATAAATTACCATGAATGTCACTGATGAATTGTTAGCACCAAATGTCATGGTAATCCAGACAGACTTTTAACCTGAACCAAAAATGCAAACCTGTTGATGGCACTAGAGTAAAAGGGATCACCAAAATCACAAAATTCTCTCTCTGGGGATCTTCAATACCTGTACCAAATTTCACATTAATCCATCAAACAGTTGCTGAGATATTTCAGTCACCAAAGTGGTGGACCAACAAACTGACAGATATTGTCACCACTTTAGTATAGTGGAATTTAATCCCCAATGTTGTCTCTTTAAATTATTCTGTAAAGTCAGATTTTCTGTAAATCTGTTTGGAATGGTTCGACAAAGGTATCAGGTAAATTAGGCATCAAGTAAAATGTACAGTATTTAATGTTTCTCTGTTTTTAATGTTATAAGGAGTTCGGTCTAGACCTGCTCTATTTGAAAAGTGTCCTGAGATAACTTCTGTTATGAATTGGCACTATACAAATAAAATTGAATTGAATTGAATTGAATTGAATTGTTTCCTCTGTTGCCAGGGGTTGTATGCGGTTGGAAATTTTCAGCCAAGTGAAGAGGCCAGTGCCAGCCCCCCTACAATGCTACATCGCCCTCCCTGCTCCTTGCCCCATATCAGCCAGGAGGCCGTACTCCACCACCTGCAAATGAAAGCCAGCATGGCTGGGGAGCCTGGCATGCCCACATCCCACTCTGAGGGCCTCCTCCACCGAAGTATTCAACAGCAAAGGCCTGATGACAGTCTGAAGCGCTCAAGCGCAGATGTTGAAGTGATCTCCCCCCGCAGCCCTCAGAGCAAAGATGCCATGGTGACCTTTAGTCATACCCTTCCTCGGGTCCACACCCCCCAGGCGATGGCAGCGTATGAGGAAGCAGCCAGACGTCACGCTGCCACTCTCCACCATGCCTCCATGGACTCCAGCCGCTCAAAGCAGCTTTTGTCTCAGTGGAAAAGTAAGAACAACCACAAATGCTCCCTGCAGGTCCCAGACTCCTTTTCCTCCTCTGTAGACTCGTCATCTGGTCAGTCCTCCCAGCATCCGCACCACCATGGCAGCATGGAGCTCCGATCCAGCTCTGAGCCCTCTGCTATGGGCCTGAATGGAGGCTTTGACAGTCATGCATACATGTCCAAACTGGTCACAGGTGCTAGTACCACCCTGCCCAGTAACTGTAGTGGCATCACCGGAGGGGCTAGGATAGCTATGCAGTCTAGACCTGGGTCTTCACAGCTGGTCCACATACCAGAGGAAGCTCATGAGAATTACAACACAGCCTCCCCAAGAATGGGGGTGGGAGGAGGAAATGAGGGGATGTCACCAATAAATAGCGCAGTTCAGGCTAACTGGCAAAGGGCTGCAGAGAAGACTACAGCCTGCAGGACTAACGATAATGGACAAAACACACAGCCACGAATCATGCAGGTGATTGCTATGTCCAAGCAGCAGGGCCTACTACAGACCCATTCCAAGAGCTTAGATGAGAGCAGCATTGGCTGCAGCACCACTGGGAGTTGCCAGGGCTCTGCTCGCTATAGGACTGACCAAGACCCCACAAGCACCACAGGGCCCAGCTCGCTGGGTAGCAACACAGGCAGTATTTCTGGGAGTACCGGAGCAATTGTCAGAATAGAGGCCCACCCTGAAAACAACAGGCCTGTGATTCAAGCCCCGGCCACAGATGGGAGCGGATCATGGAGGTGGCGGTCCCTGGATCATGGCACTGGAGCTGGTGGAGGTGCAGGGACAAGTGGAACAGGAGGAGGATCAGGAGCAGGAGGCGGGAGTTTAAGGCAGTCCTTCGAGCTCAACGATCTAAACAGAGACTCAGAAAGCTCAGACTCGATACGTGAAGGGTCCATTGACAGGAAACGTGCCAATCACATCGTTACCACCACTGCAACCGTTAGCACCCCACCTATAGTTACTGTTCACACCCAGAACACGGGCCAGTCAGAGCAGAGGCTCCACCCCCAGGGCCTCTCTACCATAAGGGTCACTCCGGGGGATGGTAGTGGTTCTGGATCTGGAGGAGCCGGTGGAGGAGGAGGTGGGGAGACCGCTTCAGAAATCCCATCAGTTGCCTCCAGTCGTGAGTCCACGCTGCGGAGAAAAGGCCAAAATATCATCCTGATTCCAGAGAGAGCTAACAGTCCTGATAATGCCCGGAACATTTTCTACAAGGGAACATCGATAACTCCTGTTTTCAAGGAGTAATGTATTAAATTACCAGAGACTTCAGAAGAAGTCGTAGCTAATATAGCTGGATTTTGAAAAAGGCCTGTATCTGTGACAACTGTCAGTATTACCTGTCATTGTACATATCATAATAACTTCAAAAGAAAAGGTTTTATTCAGCATGAGGTTTTTGTACGTGTTTACACTAAATCACAACCTTTTAAGTGTTGTAGAAATAATCACTGTGTACTTTTGTGGTCACTCCTAAGGAAACCTATTGTAATGTTGATGCTGTGCAAGTGCTCTGGGGACAGAAAAACCTTTTTTAAAACAGTTCCGTTTGTTTTGGATATAAATCATCACAAAAAAAGAAAAAATCAAGTTGCACAGTAATGTGCAAACTGTAGCAAAAGCAGCAAATACAGCAAAATAATTGTATCATAGCTGTAAAACCAGTGTTTACTTCCCTGCACTGTAAATACTGTGTATGTTTGAAAAGGGTGCTACACCAGAAAATACTATTTACTATACAACATACTGTATAATTTGAATAGATAAAGAATTAATTATTTTACAAAGAGTGAACAGCAATGACATTAACATGTGACAGAGATATGTTTTGTATTTTGTCTCTTACTGTACAGATACCACATACTCAACAGAATACTGTTTTGAACCATAAGTGTGCTTAGCATTCCTTCTGTAGCTATGAAGTCAAATATGCTGTGACTTGCACTGAAATATGCGTTTACCGTACCTTGTATACTGTAAACCCTGACCTTATCTTTATATCCTGTACTTACATTTTGATGTCCATGTCAATCCCATATCTACAGCACAGAAAAGCAGCAAAACAGTGGAATGTTATGCTTCGTTATACCATAAGACAAGAAGTACATTTCCAAAGGTCAATACAATACTTGACCTCAAGTTTCCCAAATTAATTTGACAAGTTTCATTTTGCTTGAAAACTGTCTTTGTGGCTATCAAATGAACATTTTGAGAAATATACTTACTGCTGTCCAATCTACAGCCAAATGCTGTACCAGAGTTCCAACTAGCGTAGTTATTCTGGGGTTCCAGTATAAAAACCATGTCAGTGCATTTTATTTTTTGCATTGACATGATTAGGTGGCAGTTGGAACACTTACAAGGCTTTGATGGGCATGGAATTTTTCCTGGTTAAATCACAAAAGACGAATTACCACAACAAGCCAAGAGAAAAATTATTTAACATACACTTATAGCATTGTAGCACAGTATCCCGGAGCCTCCTGTGTCACTATGTTGAGAAACACTGAGGATATTGGTAAAAAAAACAATTAGAAACAGCAATTTACAGTGGGAAAACACCACGTTGCAACTCTATACCAGTTTTATCTCTGTGTTCACAACAGAGATAATTGGTCTGGGATGTTTTAGCCTAGCTTAGCACAAATATCTAGTTATCTGCCCAGGAGTTGTTCGAAATATAAAAATAGTTCCAAAGTTACCACAAGTACCGCCATATTTAATTTTCTTCAATTCTTTCAATATATGCTGCTTTATCATGATAAGCTTTTGGAAGGCTACTTCTTAATTTTATATAGAAGCTACCAGTTTCCCCCTTCTTCCAGTCTTTTTGCTAAGCTAGGCTATATCTTGGAACCGTTACCAGAAATAAGACTGATCTTTTTTTCTGACTCTGGTTCCAATAGCAAACAAACATATTTCCCAAAATGTTGTGTTTCTTAAAAGTCAATTCTTTAATCCTCTTTTTCTTAGAAAAATAACGTTAAAAAAGCATTGAAAAGCATTAAAGCATTGTGCTCACCATAGTAGCAAAAATCAAATAGATTTTTTGTAGCATACATTTACAGGTGTAGCATTGTAGCAGGAATCTACAATATTGCTGTTAAATTAATACCTCAGTATAATTCTCATTGTCAAATTAAAACCTTTTGGCATCTTTGGTTTTGCTGAACAGAAGCACCATATAACAGGTGATTTTTTGGTGGGTTTAACACTCCCTCCATCATCTTCCATATGCAGTGGAAGAATGTCCTTTTGTGCCATAAAGCAACCAGCAGATTTTCTACCAAACCCAACCCAGTGTAGCAAATGCTATTTAGAGGCTAGTAGAGGCTGCCAGTTTTACACAGTATGTACAGGATAGTGACTGTTTCAGTTGAGGAATTACAAAATCTGTTGTTTACAGTCGTTTACATTATGGTGCATATCATTAATAAGTATCTCAGTGGTTATATAAGCACCCACTGTATATAAAGAATACATTTGATAAAAACTTGTCACTATTGGCACCAATTGTCCTATGAAAATATTTTGCCACAGTGATTATGTGAGAACGTTTGCCAAAGCTAGAATTAAAAAAAAAAAATCATCAGATGTAATTTTCAGTATTTGTATAGCAAAGCCTGCATTATATTGTACAAGATTTATTCTATACCACAGCAACATTTGCATGTATACTTATATATAGTGCATATCACAGGATTTATTTTATCATAAATGTGCTTTTATTTTACATTTACAGAAGAGTTTAACAATATGTTCATTATTTCAGTGTTTCATAGTGAGAGTTATATGACAATCTTTTTTTATCCAAGTACTGTTGCCCTTTCAGCTCATTACTACAGGCTGGTTTTCTTTTTCTGTTTTTGTTTGCCTAAATGTACCTGCCACTCATTTCTCATTTGAAAATGTGTACATAATTTATCAAACATGTAAAAAAAATAGAGGTTTTGATTCAAGCTGAATAGAAAAAGAAATATTTATTTTTGAAGTAATCCGAACGGATTGAATATTTTAAATACAGTCTTTTGTGTTATTTAAACTGCGCCCATAATTTCTGACTGCTCTCAAAATGTCAAAACATGAAAAATGAGACAACATTGGATTTTGTTCCTGTCCAATCCATTGAAGATTCAATTTTAGCATGAGTGACTTGATTTCACCCATGCAAGCCAATAGTTCTTCACTGTCATACTGAGGTCGATTTTATGCTTTGCTATCTAATAAACACTCACATTTAGACTTAGAATTTTGTTTGATTCAAGTCTGAGATGGTGTGTTTCAATGGCTTAGCTTTGGGAGTTCTATTCAATTGTTTTCCATTTGAATTTAAACTTGCAAAGCACTATACAGCCATAATCATACATGTATAAGTACAACATAGCTTAATAAGAGTTAGAGTTTCTTTAGGAGTAACAGCCTCTCTCAAATAAGCTTTTCTAATGCAATGCTACAAGGATAACAATGAAGACAATTCAGTTATACTTTAAAGGATTTTTATTTTGACTATTCTTAATAGCAAGAAATTCTATATGAAAAGACCAACTGACAATGTGTTGGGCCCTCTCTCATTCCCTACTCTCTCTGTGGCTGCCCAAATGAAAATATTTGAACTCAAAAACATTATTGTAACACATTAGCAAAGGACTGAATAGAAATATTTAAAGGTGACATCAGAAATCAATACATTGCTTTATTCTAAATCCTGAGACATTTTTCCAAAATGTCTTTTTTCACTGGACTCTGATTCTAAAATATGGCCAAAAACACAGATAATTAAATTTATTTCAGTTTTTTTAAAACTTTACTTACTGTGGGATGTATGTAACCTTTATGAAAATAACTTTTTGTTATATTTTAACATATGACATATGAGTAATTTTTTATAAAAAATAATCTAAAATTATGTGTTAAATTTGACAGCATTTAACACATAACTGGGGTGGCCAGACATTGTTTAGGGGTAGCAACTGCCACTCCATGCCACCCCTCTAGAGCCGCCCCTGAGGCACTCATTTGCAAAATTTTGTATAGGACTGAATTACAGATGAAAACACTGAAGATTTCTTATGACTTGTAATATACAAATGCCCCCTGGGTAACACGGAAACAGTGGTCATTTATTCAAGAATGTCAAGAATGGCTTTACATTACACATATGAAAGAAAACTGCCATTTTTACCCAATACATACAGTACATGACATATCTGAAATTAGCCTGTATGACATCACATGATAATGGCCAACTTTACAAAGTTGAACTTCAATGATGTGAGTGTGCAAAATACAAGTTAAATTCTTTAGATCAAAGCCTTAACATTGTCCATACTGCTTTTAGGATGGCACATAGAAAGAACAGAGTTCCCCCTGACCCAAAGAAACATATTTAATATACTGATTGAATATAAAGAAAAAGGATACCATGTGGATATTTTTATGGCATTGTTTCAAATGATTTGTCTGAGTTTAGAGTCTGTCCCAAAGGCCTGTGAAATCAAAGAGTGTAATGTGACACATGAGTAGAAATGTAGATCCAATGGGTAGAACTGTGAATGGATGCATGTGTAGCCTCTTGTGTTGTCCCTTGATGAATAATTCATGTTTTCTGATACTGTGATCAGCTGTATGAATTCTATGCAGCAAGAAAAAAAGTTGAGTTCAAAAACAAAAAAAAAGCTCAATAGTTACGTTTTTGTGTAACCGTCAAAATAGCAAAGTACTGATTGCTTAAAGACAGTTGAACCTATAGCAGTCATAGTGAGTTTTAAGAGCACGATGATCAGGGTAGATAACAAATTGTGCATTGTCTAAATGATTGGAATAAATGTTTGCTATTGAAACCAATCAATGCATGTCCTCTCATCCATGTTGTTAGTTCAGAGCATTTTACTTGAGTAGCCTGGCTGATTATTACAACAGGAAAGCTACAATCTGGGTCACCAAATCTTGAACACTCCAAAAACTAAACTCAGTTGAAGAAAAAAAAATTTGAAAGGTAAACAATTGACTTGATTAAAAATGGTAATTTTTTATATCAGGAAACCCTTTTATAAATATGAGTATAGTATGGAGGATTTAAAATGTCAACATTTCTGTAATGTTTTTGTACTGTTTTCACCCCTGTATGCACCTCTGACCAAATGAATTTCCTCTTTTGGATCAAACATTTTTTTTTATTTGATTTAAATAAAACAAATCAAACAAAGAAATAAAGTGAATACAATAAACACTGTTATATGTATTTCCTCTTATGTGTTATAATTAAATGAAAAATATGTTATAAAGACTATCGTTTAGCTTTTTGGTGATGCAGAGGTGTATTGCATTTCAGAGGTATCCAGAGCTGTGGCTGTTCACGTTGATACCCAGCACCCTCCAATCCTACCAGCCTATACACCACAGACTGCTGCTATTGAGTGCTAAAGAGTGGACGGTAAAGAGGAAGGCTAATATCGAGATAAAACTGTCAAAACGCCCCATGTACCAAGGCTGAGCCCTTGCTGTAGTGGCCATGGGTTCAAATCCAACCTGTGGCCCTATGTAGAAGATGCATTATTTCCTGTGAATCCTTCCTGCATGTACAGGCATTATGAATTTCATGCAGAAAGTCCTCCACCAGTAACAATTAAATGATCAAAAATAGGCTAATTTCATGAAAATCTTGACGATTATAACTTTAAATTGACATCAGATTATGTTGATTTTAGCTCTGTGTTAGATCTGTCATGTTGCAGGACAGGAACGACTCTGGTGCTTCAGTCAGATCATCATGGGGCACTCAATTCTCCAGTGAAAGACAGATTGTATAAATCTTTAGATAGCTCATTAATTCTTTTCACTGCAGGGTTAAACCCTCGTCATTATTTATTTATTTGTCCCTGGCCTCACCACAAACAGCGTTGGGTCTTGTGAGCGAATTAATCTGTTCATACAGTAATGCTTTACTGAGCAAAACTCCAGAGCTGTCTACTCCAGTTTTGCCCCAGATGTGTCCTTTGAGATGAAAGCTTAATGCAGCCTTAATTTCACACATATTTAGGGACATTTTTTCTCTCTTTCCAGAAAACCTTTTTTTCTCCACTGCCCCAACCTTGCTCTCTGTTACTTTGTCTCTGTGGAAGTGTAACAAAACTTGTTAGCTTTGCCATGTATAATTATCATCATTTGGTTTAAAGTAGGTCATCGAAATTACCTAAACGGAAGAGTCGAGTTTATTGAGCTCAGCTTGTTGAGAGTCTGGTGGAATCTGTACAGTAGCAGAGCTTCGGCCAGGCACGTCCAAAGCCTGACTCACTGGCCCATTGTGGCACAAGGGCAGATTTTATATGGCTCGTGGCTTCCTTCTTAAAATCTATTATTTATTGCCCGCCAGCACTATCAGACAGAATTAAAAACTCATACTAGTTCAAGTTGCAATTTTTCTCTTCACCTCAGGGAACAACATTCTGTAGCTTAATGCTATACCAGAGACTCCTTCCAGCTCAATCCCCCAGAAAGAGTGCAGGGCTTTAAAGCCAGTATTACATAGTGTCAATACCATGTAATTACAGTAATGGCATGGCCATCACATGATGCACACTGGCCCAGAAAGACTTTTTCCCAAAAGGTTACATTTCGAAAAAAGAGGATACATTTTATTGAGCATCTCAACCCTATTTTTACCCTAACCCTAACCAATCTCACTCACTGCCTAAACCTAACCAACCAAACCAATGAAAGCAACAAGAACTAGCCAATCAGAGGCAGAGTAGGGCAGGTCATGACAAAACCATTGACTACCAGTAGACAATTTTTGGGTTGATAATAGTAAATGTACTTGTATTGCACCTTTCTAGTCTTCCGACCACTCAAAGCACTTTTACACTACATTCACCCTTTCACTCAGTGATGGCAAAGTCCATCAAACAGGAACTAACACATTCACACACCGAGGCACAGCATCGGGAGAAATTAAGGGTTCAGTATCTTGCTCAAGGATACTTTGACATGTGGCAGGAGGAGCCGGGGATCGAACCAACAACCTTCCAATTAAAGTACAACCCACTCTTCCTCTGAGCCACAGCCGCCCACTGCTTCAGGAATGATGGAAATTACAATATTTCTTCATTGAAAGCCTAATTTTGCTAAGGAATTCAAAGTAAAGAGACCCAAACAACAAGTTGTCAGAGAGAAACCCCACAGAAAAAGTTAAGTTTCCAGCAATGACTCTTTATGCAGGCTCATGAGTAAAATGAAAACTGCACCAAAGCAAGCTATGAAGTGGCTTCTAGTGGTTAATCACCAAATATAGCAAACCTTTTACAGGGAGTGAGTTTATCAAACACGGTGTGAAGAGTTTTGCAAAATGTTTGTTTGGCTCGTAATGGAGTTCATGACATGAACATAACAAAAAAGGTTCTTGACCTCCATAGTCTCAAAGGCCCACTATGGCATGTGATTAACCACACTCATATGTAACCACCAATTTAAGAGGTTCCTGCTTGACATAGAGACGGAAAATGGAGATGTTGTCTTGTGAGACGGCCCGGCTGGGGGGTTAGCACTACAGCACTTTTCTCTCTCAGAAAAAAATGTCTGATCATGTCTAGCTGGCAGATTTGACTTTTTTGGTTAACATAACCAAGCTTGTATGCGCTAAACCTCAGCCTACAAGGGCAAGACGCAGTGGAGAGACAGCTATATGCACATATTAGGGCATTTGGACCCACACTCCAACTTTTTCAAATACACTTGTCACAGACAGATCCCCAGATTTGATAGAAATCTAATCAAACTGTTATGCAAGAACAAATTAAGCCATTCTGACAGAATAATTTACTTTTGAAGCGAGCCAAGCTAAGTCCTTCTTTAGCTGTGAAGGGCAGGCCATTGACCCACAAGGGACAGACAATGTTTCACCACAACCTGAAACCCCAGTGTCCTGTTTCCACTCTCTGCAATGAGCTACCGACTTTAAAAAGTCACCCGGGATCAGATCCTCACTGCACAGGGACCAAGGACATTTGGGGCTGTTTATAAACATGGAGTGAGACTATTTTAAGAGAATATTTATTATGAATGATCTTAGTCATGTGTTTTTTTATCTGCATTTTTACCCTTTTCCTCCCTGTTTCCCTGTTTGGAATGATCAATTGTTTTTGCACTGTAGTTTTTGTTCCTGTTAACTCTCTGTTGACCTGGGGAGGGTATAGGCAGACAAGTGTGACATCTGAAACAACTGAAGTTACCAGGTCAGGGTTCCCACTCTTTTCAGGAAGTCATTTACCAGGACCTTTCCAGGGCATTTTCCAGTAGTTTTTCAGGACAACACAGGATGAAGCGGTGGTCATCGTTTATGTGACACTCACACTGGTGCTACCAGTGACACTAATAAAGGCTTGGAGAGAGAATGACAGAGACAAAGGTGCACAACAACAACTATACTATTAGAAATAACTGATGATGATGATGATGACGACAACAGCCACAACAATGGGGGACTATGGACAATAATAATAGTTACTATAATAATAATGGTAATAATAATAATAATAATAATAATAATAATAATAATAATAATAATATCAGTAATAATGGCAGGAGGCTCCAATAGGAACGATAAGAACCTGCGAGACGAGAAAGCACAAGAACTCCGGGGAAGAAGTGAAGTTAGTAACATGCATTAATGGAACATGAATGAGTGCAGAAAGAGAGAGAGAGGAAGAGAGGAGCTCAGTGCACCATGGGAAATCCCCCAGCAGTATCACTGGTAACAACTGTCTTTACTCTACTATTTTATGTCAAAATGGCTGCTGTGAAGGTCTATTGACTGTATCAATTGATAACTGTATCATTAATTTGGCCACAGCACACACATTTTCCTCTAGTGGATTCATGAAAAAGAGCCAATTATTTATCTTAATCTGAGATGTAGCCTACTGCAGGAGAAACACATTTTATAGGCACAATGCACACATTTTCAACACCGTAAGTAATTGACTCATTCAAAGAAAATGTTTACATTTTCACAGGTACAGAAAAGCATTGTGCATTCACTGCAAATAAACACATTTTCCCCCAGTGTGAGGAGATTGCAGTGACATGGCTGGGTTTACAAAGAGTTCAGTTAAAACAGTACCATTCTGAGGACCTTAACATACTGCTCTCAAACCATACAGCCATGTCAAGTTAACAGTGAATAATTCAAAACAGCTGTATCAATAATTTAAAAATACACACTAGAAATTCTAAAGTTGTCTTATTCAAAAGGATGAAGAGCTTGACAAATTATTTAAAGGTGGATTGCACTGTGTGCTACATTAGCTCTGTAGAGATTTGTTTCTGCTGTGGTTGGGGGAAAGAGGACAGATGCACCATGCAGCTTCCAGATTGATGTTTTTTTTAAATCGGTAGATGATGGGCTTTTTTATGAAATCTTTGTACTCATTGTCAGGTTTGGCTGACTCTTCTAAGCTCATTCATTTGGTTCTACAGCTGCAAAGAGACTGTAAGCTTCAGTCTTACCTCTCTTATCACAGTTTTCTCAATTGTTTTCACACAATTACTGGTACTTGAGACACAATGACTACAACATGTAACTCATGCACCAACCCCCTGAACCAATTCTGCTAAACTACAAGCACAATTCCTGCTTTACACTCAAATTGCAGTTCTAAAACACACTTTTTTCAAAACACTAGACACATTTGGCACAATTTTCATGAAGAAAATATGTTGTTTTCACAAGGAACACACTGTCATTCAAAATTCTAAAGTTAACTGCCCTACTATGCACACTGACTCATCACATGGGCAAACACCTGTCACACAGTTTTACAATTAGCAATCAGAGCTTTAGCATAAAGGGCAACAGGTTAGGGTTAGATACAGCAGTTGATGCTTTTCATGGCTGGATTCACCATGCTAGACGATATTTCCCCCGCTGCTTGGCCAGGGAAAACAATGCTTGTGATGTGGATGAGGTGCTGTGGCCAGACCCAAACAGAAGAGAGGATGCAGCATAGTTTCTTTTTAAAATTTATTTTACTGTAACTGTATCCAGTAAATTCTTCTGTTGTTTGTATGTAGACCACTGTATGTGCAACTTTGTGTTGGTTGGGATGTACACTGTGTACATTGTTTTTGTGGGAAAAATAAAATATATGTGTTACCGTGTATTTGTGTGTTCTGAGTATAAAAACAATATTCTCAAATATTTTACAACACACTTATGTATGTACTGTCTGTA